GTTCTCGTTGCGAGCAACGAGTGGGTCTTCCGTCCGATTTTGGATGAGATTAATCAAGATCTTGACTGAGATATTTGTCTATAAAAGTGAAAGGATGATTGTTTTAAACGTTATTCAGATCATCTTTTGTTCAATATTGCTTATCAAAATATTTCTCCTTTTCGAGATATAAAGTGTCAAAGATTTAGCATTCTGGCCCCTTATGGTCCCTTATTACGTAACATATGATCAAAACTTTACAATATATAGCTGCAAAATATTAATATGAACATTTTTGCTTCAGTAATTTATAGCAAAATATTGATCATTAAAAAGTTATAGATTAAAGACTTTTGGCCCTTCTGAGCCCCTAATTTGAGGGGTCAGCCCCTTTCTCTTGATATCAAATAAAAGGTCTTGTGATTTTGAAGACTTTTTGTTCTTCAACTATTCAGAAATTTCCTTTCGTTTAAGAGATATATAGAATAACAATCTTTAGGGGCCAGCCCTCCAAGTCCTTAATGGGGATGTCTTGCAAAAATTAAAAGGGTGTATATTGTTAAGAACATTATTCTGACCATCTTTTGTTCAATATTGCTTATCAAAATATTTCTCCTTTTCGAGATACAAAGTGTCAAAGATTTAGCATTCTGGCCCCTTATGGCCCCTTATTACGTAACATATGATCCAAATTTTATAATATATAGTTGCAGAATGTTAAGATGAACATTTTTGCTTCAGTAATTTATAACAAAATATTGATCATTAAAGAGTTAGAGATAAAAGACTTTTGGCCCTTCTGAACCCCTAATTTGAGGGGTCAGCCCCTTTCTCTTGATATCAAATAAAAGGTCTTGTGATTTGGAAGACTTTTTGTTCAACAACTATTCAGAAATTTCCTTTCGTTTAAGAGATATATAGAATAACAATATTTAGGGGCCAGCCCTCCAAGTCCTTAATGGGGATGTCTTGCAAAAATTAAAAGGGTGTATATTGTTAAGAACATTATTCTGACCATCTTTTGTTCAATATTGCTTATCAAAATATTTCTCCTTTTCGAGATACAAAGTGTCAAAGATTTAGCATTCTGGCCCCTTATGGCCCCTTATTATGTAACATATGATCCAAATTTTATAATATATAGTTGCAGAAAGTTAAGATGAACATTTTTGCTTCAGTAATTTATAACAAAATATTGATCATTAAAGAGTTATAGATAAAAGACTTTTGGCCCTTCTGAGCCCCTAATTTGAGGGGTCAGCCCCTTTTTCTTGATATTAAATAAAAGGTCTTGTGATTTGGAAGTCTTTTTGTTCAACAACTATTCAGAAATTTCCTTTCGTTTAAGAGATATACAGAATAACAATATTTAGGGGCCAGCCCTCCAAGTCCTTAATGGGGATGTCTTGCAAAAATTAAAAGGGTGTATATTGTTAAGAACATTATTCTGACCATCTTTTGTTCAATATTGCTTATCAAAATATTTCTCCTTTTCGAGATACAAAGTGTCAAAGATTTAGCATTCTGGCCCCTTATGGCCCCTTATTACGTAACATATGATCCAAATTTTATAATATATAGTTGCAGAATGTTAAGATGAACATTTTTGCTTCAGTAATTTATAACAAAATATTGATCATTAAAGAGTTAGAGATAAAAGACTTTTGGCCCTTCTGAGCCCCTAATTTGAGGGGTCAGCCCCTTTTTCTTGATATCAAATAAAAGGTCTTGTGATTTGGAAGTCTTTTTGTTCAACAACTATTCAGAAATTTCCTTTCGTTTAAGAGATATATAGAATAACAATCTTTAGGGGCCAGCCCTCCAAGTCCTTAATAGGGATGTCTTGCAAAAATTAAAAGGGTGTATATTGTTAAGAACATTATTCTGACCATCTTTTGTTCAATATTGCTTATCAAAATATTTCTCCTTTTCGAGATACAAAGTGTCAAAGATTTAGCATTCTGGCCCCTTATGGCCCCTTATTACGTAACATATGATCCAAATTTTATAATATATAGTTGCAGAATGTTAAGATGAACATTTTTGTTTCAGTAATTTATAACAAAATATTGATCATTAAAGAGTTAGAGATAAAAGACTTTTGGCCCTTCTGAGCCCCTAATTTGAGGGGTCAGTCCCTTTTTCTTGATATCAAATAAAAGGTCTTGTGATTTTAAAGACTTTTTGTTCAATATATTTTAACAAAATATTTTTATTTAAAATGTTATTATAAGAAATGTCTCTAAAATTCACTCAAAAATTTCGTCCTAAATTTCGACCCCTACCGAGCCTCCATAATTTGCACTTCCGGAAAATTTGAAAACCAAGGTGCACATCTAGAACATGTCCTCTATCACCACTGAAAGTTTCAATACTCTAGCATTTGTCGTTCTTGAGTTTTTGTGCAGACACAAGGTCTATCTAAAAATCGATCAAAGGGCGATAACTTCTGACCGGAAGTGATTTTTCAAAAACTGACAGGGCGTTATAAACTTCAGATAGCAACGCATTAACCCTGAAAATTTGAAGCAAATCGATCGAGCGGTCTCCGAGAAATCTTCTGCACAAAATCGGTAAGGAAAAAAAAAAGAATAATAATAATAAAAAGAAAAGTGAAAAATCAACAATAGAATAATAGAAGGGTCTTCCGCAGAAGACGGAAGACCCTAATAATAAAAGTGAAAAAGAAACAATACAATAATAGAAGGGTCTTCCGTTGGAGACGGAAGACCCTAATAAAAGTGAAAAAGAAACCGAAGAATAATAGAAGGGTCTTCCGCTGAAGACGGAAGACCCTAATAATAAAGGTAAAAAAGAAACCGAAGAATAATAGAAGGGTCTTCCGCTGAAGACGGAAGACCCTAATAATCTTAATCGTCACAATCAGTAGAAGGTCTTCCGTTAGAAACGGAAGACCTTAATAAGCTGATAAACAGTTGAATGACCTGGTAAAAAACCAGCCTGATATTTATAAAAAAGATTGTTTGAATGAAAATAATTATAAACATATTTAAAAATGACTCGCTCCATAATTTTACCTACGCAGCTTAATAATGATACAGGTCTATAATTTGATAATAATGATGGGTCACCTTTTTTAAATAAAGGAAGAAAATTAGCTATTTTCCACTGTTTAGGAAATACACATTCTCTTAAAGATCTATTAAACAGAATACACAAGGGAAATGAGACGCTAAAAATAGTAGCTTTTAACATTTTATGACTAATATTGTCAGGTCCTATGGCCTTGTTCACAGGGAGAATAGAAATTATATCAATAATGTCTTGCTCAACTATTTCAATACTATGAAGAACACTATTACACAATAAAGAAAAATCTGGTAATGCAGGTTCGACATCATGCGACGACGAAATCGAAGCAAAATAGTTGTTTAACGCCTCAACTTTGTCAATATCGCTAAATGAAATATGCACATCGCCATTTTCTGTAATATCCTGCAGCGGTGGTATTTCGGATCTGACCTTTGTTTTGAAAACATCTTTTAATAGTTTCCAATAAATTTTTGAACTTTTGATACTTGCGTCGATAAGATTGGTCTCTATATTGTTATAATAGTTTGCCATCGCTACTTTTTTCATATTGTTAACTTTGTTTCGTAGTTTTTTAAACTTATCCAAATCTGAATCTTTATTTTTGTTTTGTGGGCTTTATTTCTTGCGCGATTTCGCATACGAACTGTTTTCCGCAGTGCAGAATCGAACCAGGGCTTATCTTTAGGCCTTATAGTTACTGTTTTTTTCGGGAATGCATTGTTTTACATGGTTTAAAAAACTCGTTGAAAAATTACTCTCCGCCTGGTCTATATCTTTGGCGTCATTAATAAGCGTATTCCAATCTGTGTTGCGTATAAGTGTGTTTAGTGTTTCAAAATCCGCATTTTTGTATATCCATATTTTCCTATCATATGATTGTTTTTGTATTGTATGTGATTTAAGATAGATGTATGTACCTTTGTGGTCGCTGAGAGAGTGTTCAACGTCTATTGTCCCAGAGTCCAATACATCGTCGTGTAGACTTTCACTAACAAGAATTGGGTCTATGAGAGATTTCGTGTTTTTCGTGACTCTAGTTGCGTCGCATACTGTGTTTTGAAAGGAGTATTTTAAGAGAATTTCATTGACTACATGTGTGATTTGGAGATTTAGAAAGTTTACATTTAAGTCACCTAAAATTCTATCGGATATATCAACAGCCTTTTCAAGGGACCATTCAAACTTTTTCCAAAATGAATTATCGGAGTTAGGAGGACGGTACACACAGCAGAGGGGAATATTGCAGGTAGGATCGCTGATTTCTACCCATATACATTCAAGGTTCAAAGGTTCAAGATCAGGGCGTCTATTAACGCGCAACGAGTCAGTTGCATATATAATTACACCGCCCCCATGTGAGTTTATATCTTTCCGAAAAATTGAGTTGAATCCGTCAATGGAAATATCTTCGTTTAAAATGTTAACATCGAGATGGGTTTCAGTGAAACATAAAATATCAAAATCTGAAACAATGCTCAGAAACTTATCAAACTTGTTTCTTATACTCCTTACATTTAAATGAAAAATGTCCAGTGTGGATTGGCTAATTTGAGATGGCCCCGGATTTGTCTCTATGTCACCTGACAACAATATAAGTAAGTACATAATTTGTAACACATAATTCAAAAAATAAATAACTTCTATTGCGCCTTTTGACAGTAAACATTTGGTATTTTTTAAAATATACTTCAGACACTCAATCAAAAAATTATTAAATCGTAAAGACCTGTATCGAAATGTGGAATGATATTTTCTTTTCATCAATATTGGTGAGTACTAGAAGCATTGTGCTACTGATAAATTGTAAGTTCGGCATTTAATTAAGTTCGCAAGTATCGAAAATCAGCTCCGGTTGGAGACGGTGAAATTTCCAGTTTTCGTAACATTTGGCGCCAGTTCTGACGTTTTCCTTGCACGTAAAATATCAAAATCGTGAAAAAAGCCTGGAAAACATCAGATATTTCGGACTAATCTGAGCATACGAAAAAATAATGAAAAAAATTACCTGGATTCAGATAAGCCTCGTATATTTTTGCAGGTACATCAAACTCTCTCTGTGCGTCGATGTAAACGTACGACTTCAAAAAAGGGGGTAAATCTTTTCCCAGAGGCCGAAGAAGTAACGGAATCACGTTAACATCGGAGAAACCCGTGAAAGACAATTGAGCTGCTTCACGTGCTTCAGTCACGCACCAGTGACTTTGTAAATAATTTGGACTCAAAATTATAAGAACTTTTACACTTTTCCGCATATTGTCTGCGATGTTGTCGTCAATATTTTTTCCGGGAACGAAATCCCGCTCAAAGTTCATACATTTCATATGAAACCTCTGCTCCATACACGCACATATTTCGTTTGCATCATCCCGATCCTCTGAACTGTATGATATAAACAAATGATACTTTTTGTCCTGTTGCAAAGGTAAAACTTGAAGTTCACTGTGTTCATCGTTCTGTAGAGTCTGTGAAGTTTCAGATTCAGACCAGTTCAAATTCTCCTCTCTGTCCTGATATGGTATATGAGTAAACTGTTCGTTTTCAGATTCACTATCAGACATGCCATCACAAACGTTGTTCGAGAGCAGAGGCAATCTGTCTGCTGCCATATTGTTTTTTTTTAAATTCCAGCAATGTGGATGTGATTTCGCTTTCGGTTTGCTTTTTGAAAATTACGGAATCCAGACAGTGTTTTCTTTTAAGAAAATAGAGGCCTGTTGCAAGGTCCTCTTAAAGTCCTTGATTTTAGATGTAGGAGTTATTAATAGTCTATTTTATTTTTATTTGGATAAAAATTCATATTTTTAGTCTTTTACATATTTCTGAAGAAAGTTGTTCGAGAAAATTTACAACTAAATCGATAATTATGTCACATAGAGAACACCATACAATATTATGGTTATAAATAAGTTGATCGCTGTGTTCTTACTACAGCACTATGCATAAAGTTATGAGGCAATTAGTTTCTTTGTTCTGTATATCGACTCTTTTTTTGCCTTCCATACAAGTAAGTATTCTTCACCACAACATGTTAATAATGGCCGTTTCGTACAATTTTGACATGCAGTTGAATTTATTAATCATACATTGAAATACTATTTTTAGAAGAAAACGTTAATGGCAAGCCAAAAATAGATGGGAATTTATGTGAGAGGCTATTTGTGGTCATTTGCTTACTAGTCATTACTTTTGACGCTTTAATGCCCTGTTCACACGGAGAGTTTAATTCGAATTAAACGTAAGTGTTTAATTCGAATTAAACGTAAGTTACTGCGAAGTAAATTTGATCCGCGTTCACACGGAGAATTTAATGCGAATTAGTTTAATTCGAATTAGTTTACTGCGCATTAAACGCATTAGCGCCGTGTGAACGCTAAGCGAAGCTAATTCGAATTAAATTTTGACGCATGCGTAAGGGCAGAATTTTGTCAAAGACCACATGTCGATGGACAAATATAGGTAGTTGTGCTATTTTTGAGTGTAAAACAAAGGAAATTATGTTAATCACTAAAATGTGCAAAGACACTATGATATTTTGTCAAATGACGTGATTTGTAAATGATGTCATAATAGCCTCACTGAATAGCCTTGTTGGAGAAATAAAATTATAACTAGATGAAATCCCGCGCAAGCGCGGGGAATTGAATTTATACCACTACCGACAGAAAATATATTGTAGCTTCTACTGACAGCCTACAGGGTTATAGCAGGAAGAAATACTTTGTTCAAAATCCCGCATGTGCTTCCCCCCCCCCCCCACACCACTTTTGTAAAAACTTGAAAAAATAATTTTATAAATTGATGTTTATTGTGAAACCTGTTTTACTATTTTATGATGTTATGGATATTGTACTTCAGATGCTCTTATATCATTTCCGTCAAGGATAAAAGCAGCGAATATGCACATTTTACTGATAAATTGATTGTGTTTTTTTTTTGGGGGGGGGGGGTAAAATTCACAGGTACTTGGGTCTTGGTTTATAAATATGTATGTACCTTATTGATATGTAAAAATGTACTTTACCTTTTTTACATATCAATAAGGTACATACATATATATAAACCAAGACGCAAGTACCTGTGTAACCAGAAGTCTCTGATGAGACTGTAGCTCTACTGGTCTGTACTTATAACAAAAGAAAAGTAGCACTTGGATTTGAAACTTTGCAACATCCAACAATAAATAGAATTATGTATCTTAATGTTGTCTACTTCTGTGCCAAGTTAAATTGAAATCAAACGAAAACTGTAGGAGGAGTAGCGTTTTGTAAGTATTTCACGGAAATTTCTATTTTTAGTAACCATGACAACACCATTCACCGAAATAAAAAGAACAGAAATGCATATTATGTATCGTACTGTATTCTAACTGTGTGCCAAATTAGATTGAAATCAGACCAAAATTGTAGGAGGAGTAACGTTTTATGGGAATTTCACAAAAAATTCTATTTTAAGTAACTATCAGACTAAAACTGTAGCAGGAGTAGCGTTTTAAAGTAATTTCACAGAAATTTCTATTTTTAGTAACAATGGCAACACTGTTCATCAAAATCAAAAACCAATGCACTAAATTATGTATGATAGTGCAGTCTACTTGTGTGCCAGTTATATTGAAATCAGATCAAAACTGTAGGAGGAGTAGCATTTTAAAGGAATTTCACAGAATTTTCTATTTTTAGTAACAATGGCAACACCGTCCATCGAAATCAAAAACCAACGCACTAAATTATGTATCTTAGTGTAGTCTACATGTGTGCCAAGTTATATAGAAATCAGACCAAACCTGTAGGAGGAGTAGCGTTTTGAAAAATTGTACCCCTAGCCTCCCTCCTTACGACGCCTATGACAGACTTAAAATCAACAATTTGCTCAAGTCTATACAGGGCACCGGTATTATTTCTGCATAATTAAAAGGTTAACTATGATAGTATAATAATAAAAACAGCAGGTATGTTACTCCTATCCTTACATTCATCTTCGCTTTTGGAGAAAACGCTATGCATGGAGGTTTTTATTAGCTCTAGTGGTCAGAGACCAGAAGAGCTTATTAAGGCGTACATCGTCTTTCCGTCTAGCTGTCTGTCTCTCTTTCTGTCTGTAAACAATTTTTCAAAATGCTACTCCTCCTTTATTTCTGGTCTGATTTCAATATAACTTGGCACACAAGTAGACCACACTAAGATACATTATTCTGTGTATCGGTTTTGGATTTCGATGAACGGTGTTGCCATGTCTATTAAAAATAGACTTTTCTGTAAAATGCTTTCAAAACGCTTCTCTTCCAACACTTTTTTTCTGATTTTAATATAACTTGGCACACAAGTAGGTTGCACTTAAGCTACATAATTCTGTATATCGGTTTTTAATTTCGATGAGTGGTTTTGCCATGGTTACTAAAATAGAAAAATCTGTAAAACACTTTCAAAACGCTACTCCTCCTACAGTTTTATACTGATTTCAATATAACTCAGCACACAAGTAGATAGCACTCTAAGCTACATAATTCTTGTTATCGGTTTTGAATTTCGATGATGGTGTTGCAATTGTTACATGTACTAAAAAAGAAATTTCTGTGAAATACTTTCAAAATGCTACACCTCCTACAGTTTGATCTGATTTCAATATTACTTGGCACTCAAGTAGATTTCACTAAGCTTCATTAATCTTTTTATCGGTTTTTGATTTCGATGAGCGGTGTTGCCATGGTTACTAAATATATAGACATTTCTGTTAGATAATTTCTAAACGCTATTCCTCCTAGTGTTTTTGTCTGATTTCAATGTAACTTGGCACATATAAGTAGATTTTACTAAGCTACATATTATGTATATTGTTTTTTTTTTTTAATTTCAAAGAACGGCGTTGCCATAGTTATTAAAAATAGAAATTTCTGTGAAGTTCAAAACGCTACTCCTTCTACAGTTTTGGTCTGAGTGTAAGACCGCGAAACATTAACCGACAAGATTGGAAACACAAAGCTTACGTCATTTTCGTCTGTTACAGTCAATATATTTGAGGATAGACAATGGAATGGGCGGGTACAATTCAACACGGATGTCTTGTTTTGCTTTGAACATATTAAAAACGTGAAAATTACAAACAGTGATCGATCTCAAAAAATCTATAAACAATACAATTCTGTGAAGAGGACATAAAACATGGACCCCTGGAAGTTCCAGAGGTGGGATCAGGTGCTTAGGAGGAGTAAGCATCCCCTGTTGAACGGTCATACCCGCCATAAGCCCTATGTATTGATCATGTAGACGGAAAATTCCATAGTCAAATTCTGTATAAAAACAAAGGCCTAACAATTGGTATGAAAGAAGTCAGTCAAAATACGACCCAATGACAGGTTATATTTGCTAACAAAGTCATTAAAACGACAATAAAATTTATGAAATGCTGACTTTAAACGAGGTTGTTAATTGAAATTTGTTTATTGATTAGATCAAAAGGATTGGAAACAAGTTCTTAAATAACTTACTAGTTCCTCTCCTTATACATGTATAATAAGGAGGGGAACTTGTAAGTTATTTAAGAACACGGACGCAGTGGTTAGAGCGTTCGCTCTAGAGTCGCGGAGTAAGGAGTTGATCCTTACGTCGCGGCCGGGTTCGAATCCCACTGTGGGACATGGAGACCGGTCCTTCGGATGAGACCGTGTAAACCGAGGTCCCGTGTTGCAGTAGGTGCTGGCACGAAAAAGATCCCTCACTGCTCAATGGCCTGAGTGCCGAGTATAGGTCAAAATTTGCAGCTCTCCACGGGCAAGTGGTGGCTTCTCCATATGAGTGAAAAATTCTCGAGAGGGACGTTAAACAATTAAAACAAGACGTTTCAGAAAACATGGAATTGAATTCTAGTTTTAAAATCATTTTCAAGCCACCTCAAATACACTCGTGAGCACAGCGTTACTGATTAATCTAGAAAACAAATAATTTTAATTTCGGAATTTTGCACCCCCCCCCCCCCCCCCGCCCACCCGTATTGCTCATACATACATTTAGTGAAGAAGAAAATGAATAATCTCTTGTCATCCTAGAATTAGAAAAGCATGAACATAAATAATCTGACTCGAAAAAAAAAACATTTTGCAGCACCCATTTAGAATCAAATGAGAGTCCTCTGAAAGAATATATATCTTCTCTATCTATAACTTGTGCCTATCCTTAAAAATATTATTTGGATAGAAAATTCTGATATACATTAAAGGAGCCTGGAGTTGCATTGTTTACAATTTTAAATGTCTATTTTATTTAAAAAATTACTTCAGTTTATTGATTTGAACTTGCACGAATATTTTAAGAATTCAATTACAACGACATTCTTCATAACATCACGTTAAACATCTGTATTTTGTAAACAGGGCCCGAACATAAAAAAAATATTCTCTTCCTAAGTATTATGGATAAAGTTTTCTTTGAGAAAATGCAAGGATATGTGTCAGTTAAATGCGTCCCGAAATTCGTAGTTTTAATAATTTCCAGATAAAAGAAGTTCCTAAACATGCTTTTAATATACAAGGGGTGATCAAAAAGTTCGCGATCTTATTGAATTACTTTCATAAAAGAAATAAAATTAAGTTTCAGTGTTCATTATTTTTTAAAAT